CCCCCCCTCAACATTACCATACCGAACAAAGTCATTGACCTAACAAACTGCTAAAACACTAAGAACATGAACAATAATTCTGGAAAATTTATTAACTTAAAAAAACGTCCTATAACATTTAAATAAGAGCTCAATACTGTAAAAACTTGCAGAGGTAACAATCAAAAGAATACTTCAATATAATTTATATACAGTGGACATACTAATATTGGTTCTTGCAACATAAACAAATTTATACAGCCCAAACCTTCTCTTGGCAGGGAGTCGTAAACGTTCTGGCAGTAAAGAAAGAATGAACATAATATATAATAACGTCTCTCCTCAAAACACACTGATGAGGTAACTTATTGTACATCTTTTATATCCCCATCAACACAATTTATCATTCATAAGAAAGGGGCAAGCTGCTTTGACCTTGCCTTCAAGGCAAACCCAGGATAAGAGGGATAGGCCTACACAACATATTTGTACAACATCTCAGCAGACAGACTGAGACGTTCATCTCAGCAGACAGACTGAGGCGTTCATCTCAGTAGACAGACTGAGGCGTTTATCTCAGCAGACAGACTGAGACATTCATCTCAGCAGACAGACTGAGACGTTCATCTCAGCAGACAGACTGAGACGTTCATCTCAGCAGACAGACTGAGACGTTCAATAAAAAACCCCTCCTTACTTAGGAGCCAAACTCATTTATCATAATGCAACAGCAAAGAGTGTGACTCCTTCACCCCAGAGGCTGGTATGGTACATGGTACTGAGGAGGTCCGATGTGTCCTTTTCTTCAAATGAGTGAGAATAGTACTGTATAAATAACTGTAACCCATCCATCAGCAACCAAGAATCTGTTCTTTCGAATACCTTGTGTTGTTAGAATAGAATGCCATTTTGTTTGGATGAGATTTCCACTAACCCACTGGAATGCTTTGCCTAGTCATTTATGATAAATCGAATCTTTGAACGCATTCAAAAGTCTGCTCACTTAATTATTATTATTTTTTTTTTTTTTTTTTTATTAAAGAGAGATTTTTATCAAGATTTTGAGTCAAACCACAATGTAGTTTATAGTGATATGTGTTGTTACTTGTATTTTTGTAAAGCACTTGAAGCCTGAGTTGAGTGCTTCATTCTCATGTGTGTATATAGTGGAATCTGCTAAAAACCTAAACCTACAGGGGACACTGAATTTTCTTCAGTTTAGAGGAGTTTTCATTGCTTAAATTAGAAGAAAAAACAATCTGAGATTTTACTTTCATATTATTATGGTATACAGCTGTTTCCGGATTTACCATATTCCTGTAAGTGGACTCCACTGCTTTATAGTTAATGTTATTATTCTGCAGAAAAAAGCGAAGTATTGAAATTGCTCTTTACTGTTAAATAAGCTCACTGGGTTATTTTTCAAGAGTTGTAGTTTGCTTCCTATCATAGTAGTAAACTTGCAGCCACTTTTTCCCTTCTCCCTCACTTCTTCAAAAACACCTGATTTGGATTGCAGTGACGCTGAAGTAGGAGTAGTAGCAAGAACAGACTCCACCAGAGCCCTCATGCGACTCACTACACACAAAGTGGGCAATAAACAAGTTATAAATAAGGGAAACAATACTCCAGCAGAAAATCCAACAGAATTTCAGGTAATTCCTCCTGAAAGCTGAACCTCCAAACATATATATAGAAGCTGACCGATAAATTAGCTATCCAATCCACTGGGTGATATGCGGACACATTCACTAAATTGGGCAGCTGGCCAAAAGAAAATGGCAAATATAAAACCTTGACCATGGTGTGAATCAAAGCAGAATCTTATGTCGCAATCCAAACCACATGATATACAAAAAACTCATTTCAAGGACATATGATATTGCTGATATACCACAATATCTCATCACAGAAAACTTCCGATGCCACAAAATATGGGTCGAGACCCTAATCCAAGAGAATCACAAAGCGAATTTAGAGAATGAACATGTTTGAATTAAAATGTGTATGCCGTTTTGTAATCCACATCCTGCAGCATTTCTCCAAAAGGCTATTCAACTGCACAATATCAGAGTGAAAGAACTGCTGAAGATGACGCACTATTGAACAAGTATTGGTCAAGATCATGACCAAAAGATCACTTCTCACCACATCTGGTTGCTCTTCACTGCCACCACCTCCACCTTCAAGATTCAACACACGTTGTCAAAAAATCCAGATACACTGCTTCCATCTTTTCGCAGATGTTGTTTAAATTACCCATCATGAAAACTATTTCTTTCTCTTCTGCAATTAATTCCTGAAGAAACAGTTCTTTTTACTGCTTCAATATCCAAGAAATCAAAACTCAATGCTTCTGTCTTCAATTACTCTCTAGGAATCACAGATTCCAACACTGAAAATTTAACTCGGTCCAAAGTCTTCCAAATGTGCAATCCTTAAATTTTTAAACATCCAGCAACATTTCTTCATTGTCACCGCTTCCAAGGTTTAGGGTATCATCACCAAGACCTAATCCCGCGGCACTGCCCCCATCCTCTCCACTATTGTCCGCAGCAACAGGAGACATTGTGACGCCATCTCCGAGGGAAATCATCGGCAGAGGAGATGCCAGGGTCACATCATGGCCGAAAGCATCATCATCGTCATCATCCTCTTCATCATCATCTCCTTCTTCAACATTTGCCACATTTTCGCTGCTTGCGACATCCTCATCCTCCTCTTGAGCTGAGAGGAGGGAATCTTTGCTCCGATGAGGCAAGGGGGAGGGAATGCCTCCACCACTTTGGGGTGCACCTACCATGCCACATGATGGGTACGCACCACCAGCTACACCTCCAAACTGCATGATCATCATATCGGGATCTGAATCGAGCAGAGATGACTGCTGTTGTTGAACAGCGGTCAAACCCAGTTCATGTGTAAATTTATCCGACTCTGATGGATCGTCCTCCTCCTCCTCTTCTTCTTCTTCTTCTACTTCTTCTTCCTCTGCTTCATCACTATTATTATCCACCTCTTCCTCCTCTTCTCCACCTTCATCATCATGAGCTTCACTTTCATCATGCTCTTCCACTTCTTTCTCCACCTCTTCGTTATCAAGAACTTCCATATCATCAGAAACACCTTCCATCACCAACTTCTCTTCTTCTCCATACGAGTTATCCTCTAGGGCCGCATCAGCACTACCTGTGCCACTTGGTTCTTCCTCATTTCCATCTTCCCCTCCTTCCATAAACTTTGTCTCTCCGTCCCTAATTTCTTCCTCTCCTCCAGAAATGTCTTCCTCCGAATCACTCCCCACAGGAGGTGCACGATTCAATTGCAGCAACACTGAATCAGGAATCCTTTGGACCCTCACCTCGGGTTCAAGGTTCAAAACCAGCGGGAGGTCAGTCCGATCCCTCTCCTGACCTTTGATGTATTCGTGCGCCATCCGAGACACCTCATTGCGATCGACGACCTTGGCGTCCGTGTCGGCATGCACCGAACTGACATGTCGCTGGACGCTAGATCGGTCAAACGCACTGTATTCGCAGTGACTGCACTTAAAACGACGCTCCCCGAAATGTGATTCAATGTGCCCGCTGAACTCCGTCTCTGTCTCTGCCAGGAACGGGCAGTAACCGCACTTGAGCGGGGAGGACAAGCTCGAGTCTCGGATACGGTACTTGAACCCTTGGTGCTGCTGGGACAGGTGCAGGCGGAAGTGGTACAGACTCTCCGTCTCGTAGTCGCACTCAGAGCACAGATAGTTCAGGGCCGACTGGCTACTCCGTCTCGTCACTGCACACAGGAAAATAGGAAAGAAAAGAAAAAACAGTCAATTATACCCATGTCTGAATACATGAAAAAAAACAACAAAGCAACAAAAATATAGAACTACCCACGTTTGAGCAAAAAAAAAAGAAAAAAAAGAGCTGTTGCCGACAAACAGAATGATAGGTTTGTTTAAAACAGAATATCAAACAATATTCATTACTTAGTTTGAATTTAAATCACTTCCTTCTGTCTTTCCACACTAATGGAATCTGTCACGTAAAGCTGGATCATTAATGACAAGTGTCTGAACAAGGTGCATAGATCTGAAAGCAAAGGACTTTGCGATAAAAACTACAGGATTAGCAAAAAAAATCAACTAATCAATAGTCATTATGAGTTTCGTACAAATGATTCAGACAGTCAAGAAATAATGGACAATCTGTTAAACACAGTACATTAACTTCTTCTCTGCCTCACAATTTAATCTTGGACATCCAAGTGGTGAAATAGGTCATTGCCACTAAAATCTTAACTTCTCATTTAGTCATATATAATAAAGATGAGAGACTTTAAAGGGTAAAAAATAAATAATTTTGTTAAATGTACAACCCTGCAAAAGACATGTAAAAGACAGCTTTCTTGAGAGAGTTGACGCCCGTTCTATAGCTGAAAGAGCTCAATTCAAGCATTTATTTATTCAAGAAAAATATCATTCAAGCTGTTTGTTTGTTTTTGTAAAGTGTTTTACGGCGCTCGCAACTGCATAAGGTCATATGAGTGCGCGGGACACACCTAATATTTTCAGTTGGTAGGAAATTTTGAATTTTGCCCGGGTGGCGGCCGAAGCCTACTCTTATCGATTTTAGACCACCAAGGGATCTTTAGCGTGCGCAACTTGCACACGGGCCCTCCGAGATTTTTTGCCCTTGTCCGAGAAGGCTAGGTGTAGATCTTTCCTACCAGAAGATCAGGGGTGTGGCAGAAAGACAGCTGTAAGAAGGAGTCAAGGAGTAGCAGTAGAAAGGCTGCAGAAAGAGTCAGGAGCCCAGAGGAGGGGGCAAAGGAGGTGAGGGGGTGGGGGCAGAAAGAGGAGACGAAAGCAGACGACAGAATATTGCTAGAGAGCAGGAAAGGAGGTAAAAGGAGACAATTTTAGAGAAGAAAATTTTTCGGTCACTACCCGGATTCGAACCCGGGACCTTTTGAATGAGAGGCCAACACCTTAACCTCTAGGCCACGAGAGCCCCCATTCAAGCTGATTTTGATGAAAACCAGAATTGTGCCCAATTTTTGGGACACCAAGTATTATACCAAATTGTGCATACGCTGATTTGATCACTACATTCAAGCAAACATCATGATGGTTGACGTTGAATACACATCGACACTAAAATATATGACATTCTAAACCAGTGCTTGTCAACCATTTTATAATCAGCACTACCCATTTATGTCACTTTTAAAAGGCTAAGATTTTCTTACCGCCCACTTCACATCCATTTCCAAGTGGAGCATGAAATAATACCTGTAACTACCCAGGTGATCTCCACCGCCCACAAAAATGACCAAATCTCCCATTAGTCTGTCCCCGGGATTTTATGCACCCCACATAATTTAGCAAAATTTGATCATTTTTTGCATAATTGCTGATCATTTTCCTTTATCATTCTTTGTTAAAATTAACAGAGTCGCATAATTTCACATTTTTGGGCTCAGTTTGCATAATTTCAGAATTTTTTTGCATAAAACTGTGAGGACCGATTAGTGGATGATACCACCCAGGTTGACAAGCACTGTTCTAAACATTTCATGCAAAGAGAGGAAACAGGTAGGTTACATAACTGTGAATAATCCTACCAACAATACCACACAATAAGCTACTACCATCACCAGGAGGACACATAATTATACACACAGTCAAACATGCTCTAACGGCCACCAGTGCAGGACTTTCACCTGTACAAATGAATTTTTCTCGCTTTAGCCCCTGCCGTTTTGTTTTTTTTACATTATAATTATATAAAACTGTCGAAGGCATCCACCTGTCTAAAAAACCCACTTTTCTCTATGACAATGCAATAGGTGGCTGTCTTAAACAGTTTCGACTGTAAATTCACAAAGAGTAACAAACAACTAGCCGAAACTGTGGTCGATACAAAGGTACAACTGAGAAGAAACTATAGATCTAAAATTAATACACAAATAAATGCAACTAAAAATACTTATGCTGCAAAAAGTTACACTTTTTATCTTCAATCCAAAGGTTTGAATAAGGGGACATTCCATTATACAAGATAGAAACTTTTAGGTTGACGATAAGCTATGAAAATATAATCAGCAGATCAAATTAGCATTATCTTCAGTCTTCAGAATTAAGAAATTTTGATTAACAAATTAAGAATTTTGAGTGCGTTGAATCTTGGACACTTTCCCTCAAGCAGGCTTCTCTGCCATGACAGTGTCAAATCTTATTGACCTCATAATGAGACAGCTGTGTTGAGCAACATATTACACAGAAATGCCAATCAATTATACATTTCTTACAATCTCAGTGAAACCTGTAGCTGTAAAGCCTCATTCACGACTACACATAAATAACATGATCCACGTACAGGTAAATAATGTGGTGGGCGAATAACGTTACAAAATACCAAAAAAAATTAATGAATCCATTAACAACTGAAAATACTTCAGAGTTATTATGTGAAAGTCTGAAGACGCAATGACATGGTTGCATAGTTGCAAGTTGTAGAATTGAATTTTGAAACTAGGACAAAATACAGCAACCACTCTCCTCCGATTAAGACAGCAAGTTTTTTTTTTTCTCCATTATACAAGTACAAAGAAAGATACAGAAGGTCATTTTTACCATCATCTATCAAAATGCTTCCATCTTAACCATCTATCTTGTTTAGTGTACTTACGACCTTAGAGCATGCATCAAAATAACATCGAGTGTGTATCTAGCTTACGATTATTATTGTTTATATTGCTGCTCATTTATATTATGTATGTGATTGTAAGCCTACTTGTGTGTGCATGTGCGTGCACGTGTTTACGTGTGTGTGTGTTTGTGTGTGTGTGTGTGTGTGTGTGTGTGTGTGTGTGTGTGTGTGTGTGTGTGTGTGTGCGTGTGTGTGTGTGTGTGTACTCGTGGTGGAACACCAAACCAATGTGCCAGGATCTGGACAATAAAGATGTATCTTATCTTATCTACACAGAGAATACACCAATACAGAATACAGAAAAAGAATGAGAAAAGTCTGAGGTGGTAAAACAGCTAATATATGAATATAGTACCATACTTCCTACACAGAGAATACACAAATACACAATACAAAAAAGAATAAGTCTGGGGTGAAAAACAGCTGGAATGTGAATAAAGTATACTACCTACACAGACAATACACCGATACAGAATACAGAAAAAGAATGAGAAAAGTCTAAGATGAAAAACAGCTCATTTGTGAATATAATTTATTACCTACACCGAGAATACACCAATACAGAATACAGAAAAGAAAAAGTTTGAGGTGAAAAACAGCTAATAGGTGAACACAGTAGGCCTACTACCTACACAGAGAATACACCAATACACAATCCAAAAAGAATAAGTCTGGGGTGAAAAACAGCTAATATGTGAATATATAGTGCTACCTACACATAGAATACACCAAGACAGAACACAGAAAAAGAATGAGAAAAGTCAGAGGTGAAAAAACAGCTACCCTTACTCACGTTTTCCAGAGCTGGCAGTATCCTCGTCTGTCGGCTTGGGGCTCACTGAGGGCCCGGCCGTCTCAGACTTCGGCGAGCTCTCGGGTCGCGACACACTGCTAGACAAAGAAGGCCCGCCACCCTTCTTGCTGGTAAGAATGGAGCCCACCGTCCCCGACATCCGCAGGTGGATCACCCACAGAGCCATCCCTTTGTGGAGGCAGTACTGATGACGCATCAGCTTCTCTCTGAAAAGAACGTGTGGTGGTTGGGAGGAGGGAGAGGGTTGGGGGAGGAAAAAAATAATGTTTAAAGGTTGAAGGTTTCCAAAAATGCTTTTGTTTGTAAAGAGTAAAGAGAAGCACACTGACACAATAATGGTCATTTGGTGAAGGGAAACAGCAAGACAGAAATGTAAGGAAAGGAACAAGAATGAAAAAGAACAAAAGTAAGAACATTTTACATCTAAGATGTATTATCTATAATCTATAATCTAAATATTACAATGAATATTTTTCTCTTTGCTTTATACTTTATGACTGACTAAAAATTTGATTATGGCTCTATATATTGTATAAAAGCAGCTATAATCTGACTTGTCTTTCAATTTGACATGAAAGCATTACGGTCTGTAATATAGGTGCCAATAAACACAGAAGGCTTTGTTCAGGACTTACTTTCCAGAGAAAGAGCGACTGCAGTAGGGGCAGATAAATCCCTTGGGCTGATGTGACTTCAAGTGTGACTTCATTGCTTGGATCACACAGGAGGAGAAATCACACGTCTTGCACTTGAACCTGAGAGAAAGACACCGGCACACCGATTTGGTCAACTTTCCTTTTTAAGAGAATCTCACATTTTGTTGCGTTCTGATAATGACTGCATAATGCAATATATTTTTGCTTTCGATAGGTCAGATACAACTGCAGAATCAACAAGGAACTCTTTGACTGACAATCTATAAACCCTTTACCTTCATAAAACAGACTTGCATTTTGTGAAGAATCTTATTGGCGAATGAACACCAAAAAAAATGACAAAACTCCACGGAGCACAACTAAACATAAATATAATAAAATCCCATGCATGAAGCAGCAAAAGTAAATTCAACAGGCATCGTAAAGAAACTCAACAGGCAGCATAAATAAATTCAACAGACAAGAGCTTACAAGTTATTTCATATGACTTTTTAAAAGAACTAAACCCATTCATTGATACACTCCTACCCCCCCCTCCTTCCACCCCACATTAACTTAATTCCACCCCCCCCCCCCCCCTCACACACACACACACACACACACACACACCTCTCCCAACAACCATAATACAGACACACATATTTTGTAAGAGATGATTTCATCTACAATTTCTCATCTCAATCGACAACAAACACGCACCTCATGGTGTTGTTTCCCGCCCCCAGGGTCATCCTGGTTGTGTATCCGACATCCGTTGAGGCATTGGGCACGCTGCTGTCGCAGTCCGGCAGGGCCTCGCCCGTCTTGTCGCAGGTGAACCCTCGCTCCAGCTCGGTCCACAGAAACCTCTCATCGTGGTGCACTTCCTTGTGGTGATTGTAGACTTCGCTCACCGTGCCCGCCGAGAACTCACAGTTGTAGCACTTGATGGTGACACACATCTCCACTCCAACTGTCTGGGCCGACTTGCCCGTCTGGGGAATACATGATGATAATAATAATAATAATAATAATAATATTTAAGAATAATAATAAGAATAATAATATTTAAGAATAATAATAAGAATAATAATATTTAAGAATAATAATAAGAATAACAGTAATATAGTCTAGCAGGCACATGACAAATACGCACATTGTGAACACATTTTCAGGTCCCGAATTGTTTCTATATACGGGTGTATTCTTTGCTTTTAAAACACAGACATAGGGAAAATTCTTAACTACGAAAAAATGTCCACGTCCTGCCTATTTTGTTTTGACCGTTTGATACAGAAAGCAGGGGTGTGCAAGTTCAAAACATGATCTATTTGTACATCCACAATACCTTTCAAAATTATGATCAACAAAATAGATAAAAACATACAAAGTACTGCTTTTGCAGTGGTTATCAAGTTCACAGAAAAGTCAGGATGATAATTAGAGCTGTATTTCCCAAGGAAGAGATTAAAACAATCAGCTATATTGAAAATAATAAATAGAGTAGGCAAACCTCATATAAAACACCCTTCATCAAAGCATTCACACACTCACATATAAAAATACAAACGCAGGTGTGCACACACAACCACCACCAGCACTTCGATTAAGTACATTTGCTGGCACCAACCCACCTGTTTTCTTTCAACCCAGTCTCCAGAGTCATCCCCATCTGCTGCAGCCCTTGCTTTCTTTGCCGACCGGCTGTTACTGCCAGTGGGGGCGCTGCGTTTGAGGTTACCACGGTTCTCTTGGAATTGAGAGATGAACTTGTCCGTGAAGGCGATATCGAACTCGGGATCTTTGATGGCTTCTTCCTGTACTTTGATAGCCAGCTGCCTGGTTTCTTCCAAGAGTTCTTCCACTCGGATCTCTTTCTTCGGGTTGCGGACGTACATATATTGCTCTTCGTGACCTGATTCAGAACAGAACACATAGCAATCTTTAAACAATGCGGGGATTGTAAATGCCTTGTGTAATCAATGACACTTCATTGGAGATGAGCTGCTTTGACCCTGCCTTGTCTAGGCTAACGTGAGTTGTGAAGGACACCGCCCAACAGATACACAGTGGAACTCCAACGGCATCTGCGGTGAAGCCGTTAGATGCTTCGCAGTCACACGCAGGTTACCCAAGCTCAATTCCCACGTGGGTTGAATTTTTTTCAAGTATCTAGGCCTCCCAACTGAGAAGTGGTACCCTTCTCAGCCCTTGCTGGTCATAACAGACAGGGTCAAAGCCCACCTACTATATGATGTTAATAAAAAAATGATACTCCTTATAATAATTTATTTGCTCATTGTTATTTGGCAAAGACCTCAAAAAAATATTCTAATAGTAATTCCACTTCTACAACTAATAAATCTATTACTAGTAAACAATGGATTGTGCTTATATATATAGCAGGTATCCTGAGAAAATTAATAATACTTTGAGGACTGCTGCAAAATTATTTTCCTCTCACCTTGTGACCGTGAATGTCGGCGACACTGGTCTGGGGAAGGAAAGAAGGCCCCGCAGTTGGTGCAAGTGTAGGGCCGGTAGTTGACGTGTCGGTTCAGGTGGTACTTCATTTTGGAGGTCGCCATGGTCTTGACGGCACACGACTTACAGACAAACCGCCAGGCTGGGATGCGCTTACAGTTGAAAGGCAGACCCTGGTGGTCCCAATCCATGTGGTCTTGCATGCGGCCCATGGACGTCTCGCGCGCGTCGCAGTGACCACACTGGATGAGCTCGTCACCTTTCTCAAAGACAAACCGACGCTTGCGCTTGAAGGTGGTGTCGGATCCGTCCTGGAGTTTTCGCTTGACGGCTTTTTTACTGCCGTCCCAGCATGCCGATGTTTGATCATCTTCATCTGACTCGTTTTGTTGAGAGCTCGATGCCCGTGCGGTAGAATAGCTATCGTCTCCTTGGGAATGGTTTTCTTTAGTGTGCTTCAGAATATCATCCTGCGTGTCTGTCTCATAGTGGCAGTAAGCGCAGGCATACTGCTTCGGCCCCTGCGGTGTGGTTCGTGGAGGTGTGACGGTGGACAATTTCTTATGCAGAAGGTTTTGCCGTCGCTTCTGAAAGCTTAGAGGACCCATGAGTGTCCTGGGTTTGGTTCTCGGAGGGTTCAAGGTGAAGGCATCTTCTTTGTACTCCTGGCCCGGGTGCTCACGGTCTGTGTGCTTCCTCATGAGCATTAGGCTCAGAGTCTGATAGTTGCAGATGGGGCAGGTGTGCGTCTGATACTTCTCGTGAATCTTGTAGATATGCCGGACAACATTTGACCGATGGAGCGACGTAAACTTACACTTCTCGCAGTAGAATTTCGTGATAGGCCCATCCTTTGACTTCAGGACTTTGATTTTGGTGATGACATCCAGGGCCTTTGGCTTCCCACCTGCTGGTGAGCGATAGGAACCAGGGGCGTAGGACTGAACCAGGGGTCGTCTCAAAGTTGAGAACTGAGAGCTGTCTGGTTCCTCTTCTTCGTCTTCCTCAGGATCATAGTTGGACCTATCTGCACCGGGATCATCTTCCTCGTTGTAGTCATCATTTTCTTCTTCACCGTCTTCTCCTGAACCATGTTTGTGTTTACTCGCGGAGTGTAAGACATCATTATCATCATGAGTATCAAGGGCAGCGCCTTCTTCAAACTCTTCGTCTTCGATTTCCGTCTTCACAACAAAATCTTCGCTGGTAGTGAGAGGACTTGGCGGAACCTTATTCTTCTTCTTCCCAAACATCGCTACTACAAGAGACGGAGGGGCAGGTCCCCCACGGGTCTCAGAATCATTTGTCCCATTCGTGTTCTCATCATCATCACCATCTCTCTCTCTTTTCAAGGAGACCACAGGAGAACTCGATCGTGAACCTGAGTTTGATGACTCCGGCTTCTGTATGAGATTCTGACTCAGCCCCCCCACGTTGGCCATATCGTCGACGAACTCCCTCACCCTGCCCCCTACATCAGGCTGGGTAAACTTTATGTTGATGGGCTTGTCCTTGTGTTCTTCTTTGATGTGCGTCGACACATTGTACTTCTCCACACCCTCAAACGGGCAGTAGGGACAGCCAACCAGGTTCATCTTGAGGTGCTTCAGCATGATGTGTCGGTGCAGCGGGTACTTCCGCGGGAACTCCCAGCGACACACCAGACAGCGCAACTGACCTGTGTTACGCGTCTGGTACAAACAGCTCAGCTCACGATCCAACGCGTCGCGCCCGAGCATGATCACATCCGGGTCGACTAAATTGTTCTTTTTCCCTGGTGTAGTTGTCTTGGTTGTTGAAGGGGTTGATGATTTATAGTTGCCAAATCGGAATGTTGGGGATTTCAATTTGGTGCTGCTGGAACCTGAGAGGCCAAAAGATCTAGGTTTTTTGCTAAACGCAAAAGGTCGGTACATGCGGTTGTAGTAATCTTTTGAAGAGTCTGATGACTTTGATGATCCAAGCCCGTCCCCAGTGTTATTTACATCAGCATTATCTGAAACAAGAAAATTTTTTATTGATAAAAGAATCAACATAATGCCAATCACAAATTAACAGTAAATTTGTAGTGACAATAGTAGCACTGAAAGAAAGTAAAAAAGGGACTATGCACAGTGTCCAACAACTATAAAGATTTTCACTTTTACATACTGAGAATAAAACAAAACAAATTATTTTGTATTGACTGTAAATTACACAAAAAGCTACCCCCCCCCTCGCTCTCTCTCTCTCTCTCTCTCTCTCTCTCTCTTGCGTAGTTTACTCCAAAGATACAAACATACAAGCGCATCAACATAATCATACATCGTCAGTATGGGTCTTCTACTGTGTATCAGCCAAATAGGCTACTTTTTAGTTTTCTGTACTGTTCTTTTTTAATTATCACTTCACCTATTGTAATTGCAGTTGTGAATAACATAATTTCAGACAAAAAGAAATGTCAGTCCTACTTTGTTAGACTGATGGTGAAAGTCGAACGCCAGAGGTATATATATACATGGCATACATAACCCCCCTCCCCCCAACCCCCCTCCCCCAACAACTGGGATAACAACAGCTCTTAACAGATTATGTTCAAAGAGCACATCAAAGCAGACCATCTTAGAGCCCATTGCAAAATCTTCTGAACTATCAATTCTGCCATTAACATTTTGCCATCACAAGGCTCATAATATAGTAAAAATCTTTACCATCAAACGCAAAGACATTTTGGGGAAAATCGAAAGAAACTGGGTGGTAAACATTGCCGATCGACGAGATGTGACTGCAAAATACGCTACTACACTATGACACCTCTTGCTCACCTTCGCCTGCGGCTACTTTGGCCAGGAACTTGGAGACGTTCTGAGCCAGGTCCACCTCGTTGGTCTTGATGTTGACCGGCTGACCTTTGTGGCAGGCCAGGATGTGGTCCACCATCTGATGTTTCTCCACGCCTTCCATGCCGCAGTAGGAACAAGTCAGCAGCGCCACCTGGATAGAGAAATACACACAAAGCCGAAAGTTGACGGTAAACCTGAGAGAGACTCATTGGAAAGCCTGAGTTTGTCAGCAAATTTGGAAGGCAAATTTTGTACGCTTTAACTCTCTCTCCATGGATAGGCATTCCCCATTTCTATTATATTACCTATTTTTAGATTCTCAATATGTGTTTGTTAAAAAAAAAAAGCTTTAACTTTGATGAATATTGACCAAAATAGAAGAGAGACCCATCAGAATGTAGAATGTGCAGACAAAGAAAGGTTTATGAGAAGTGAAAATGGAAGCAAATGATTAGTAAGTAAGAAAGCTCCACATGGAGTGGCCATGCATAGGTAAGGGGCTCTTCTGGTTTGCTACTTGCCAGAGTGAAAGAGTTGACCATAACTTATTTTTACTGACATCACTTAACCCTCAAATATATACATATAGATCATATTTAATAATAAGGTCAAGACCAGAAAACAGACTTGCAAATGAAAGTTTAAGTTTTGATAAAGATGCTATACTTTTGAGAAGACTCATAAGCTTCTCAAGAGTTTAAAATAAAATTTCCAAGAAAATTTTACACTAAGTTAGATTTGATGTCCAAAATGTTCTTTTTAAAAAATACTTTTATTTTTAACTGTAAAACAGGCATTTTAAAATTTCAAAGTACCGAAAAAGAAAAAAAAACACCCAACAAAGAAAACTAGAAAACATTAACATACAAACAAAACTCAGATGAAAGACAGAAGTAAAAGAGGTTAAAATAATTTATTTCATTCACAATAAAAGTAGCTGCTCCTTCAGAAAAAAACTTATTTATTATAAAGTTTGTTTTAACAATAATAGCCATATCTGATACCCTGGACAAACATAGATTTATAGGCAGTGAAGGGGTAGGCTACAATCCAACCAACAGCAAAGACAGCCCTTACCTTGAGGTGAGAGATAATGATGTGTCGATGGACAGCAAACTTCCGCTGAAACTGGTTCGGACAGACGAGGCACTTGTAGAATACTCCATCGCTGAAGTCGTAAAGGCAACCGATCTTGCTGTCCAGCTCCTCGCTGCCCAGCGTGTGGTTGTAGTTGCTGCTGGCACTGCTGGGTCCGCTGTGTCCCGGAGACTGATGGTGACCCCCTGAACAACTTTGTTGACACGTGCCCTTGTTGTCATCGTGGTCATGAGAGGTGTCGTTGGCTGAGAACGGCACCTCAAGCCCTTCGTCAAGGCTGGCTTTGCGGTTCTGTATGATGTTGAACTGTGCCAGAAACTGAGCCACCTTGGCTTCCACGTTTACCCGAAGATAGCGGACGCTCATTGGTTTCCCGGGGTGGATCTTCTTGATGTGATCCACCATCTTGTACTTCTGCAGGCCGCGGTGGGCACAGAAAGCACATTTCCACAGATAAATATTAAGATGGCGCAGAATGTGGACATGAATGAAAAACTTCTTTGGACGCTCTGTTCCACAAATCAGACATTTCATTTGTGTGCCATAATTCTCGTACAGACAACGGATCTTAGCATCCAAACTGCCACTGCCTACTACACAACTCTCCTCCATTGGGCCCACTTTACTGCCCATGGCTGAAACCTGGACAGGATATGAGTTACGGCCCATGACAGATATCTCTGGATGAAACTGTTGGAGATGCATGACCATATCTCGCCGGAGCAGAGTAGCAAAGTCACATCTGGAGCATAGTGCTGGCTCTTTGAAGATTTGATCGTCTGGGACAATCAAGACTTCTTCTTGGCTTAGAAAACCCGGTTTGCTCACAGCTTTTTCAGTGGAACCTTTACCAGCAGCATTCAGGATGTCCTCAGTAGTGGCTTTAGCCAGCTTTTCAACATCCTCGTCATTGCTGATGACCTTGACTTCAGAGTGGAGGGAATTGACATGTTCTATAATGTCCGCTTTCTTGTGAGTGTTATAGGAACATTTAGGGCACTGGAGAGGTACAGAGAAAACATCTCCTCCTTCTGGAATCACAAACAGTTGCTCATAAGCTGTCGAAGAAGAGGATGATGATGCTGTAGATGCAGAAAGGAAATCCCCTGAAGTTTCTGTTTTTGCCTGATCAGGACTAGGAGAATTATTCTTCAACGCTGTTGCCAGTTCTTTATGTAAATTTTCCTCTAGCTGCTCAAATGACTCCTCAACAGATGTCTCGGCAAATGATTTGTCCACTTCAGTGGTGTCGATAGCTACAATCTTTTTCACCAGAGCTATTGGTTTTCCTGGATGCTTCTCTCCCAAATGTTCATAGAGCAGTTCTCTGGCAGTTGACATACAACTGCAGTACTTACAACGGAACATAACCAAAGTGATTTGTCCTATCTCTGAATGTCTCTTCACATGATTCTTCAGATCCGCAGCCTTGGGAAGAAGATACTTACAAATTGGACACTTGAATTTGCGCACCTGATTCTCTAAAACCAGGCCAGGTTGTAGTGCTGTTTGCTGAGAGACGAGGCGGGTGAAATTCTCATTCCTCTCAGTGATCTGATTAACTGTCAGAGCCGCTGGCGCAGATGACTCATGCATCCGGTCCCGTGATCTCTTCGCCGCACTTGTAGGGCGCGTAAAATCAAAAGCATCATGAGAGCTGGAGGCGTCTGGGGACTGCTGAATACCTTTAGGACTTGGCGTAGATCGAGAACTACTGTGAGATGGTGGTGTATCGTATGAACTCAAGGGAGTATCGGTTGGTGTGAGGCCTTCAATTGTGAACTCTCCTTTATCGCGGAGGACTCCATGCTCTCGCTGGTAATGAATAGCCATGTGTATCTTGTGGCGAGTCATGTAGTCACACTGCTCACACTGGAGAACCCGAGACTCTAGAGAGCGCGACACAACAGTGTATTGATCCTCCACGGGACCAGAGCCCCTGTGTTTTCGGTCACGATTGCAGGTGATGTGCTTGACGATGGTGTGCTTTTGGTTGCTGTCAAACTCACACTTTTTACAGCGGTAAAGTAAGAACTTGATGAGTCCAGGGTGGCATGTAATGTGAAGTCGGAACTTCATCTCGCTGTCAAAACCTTGTGGGCAGAACATGCACTTAAAACGTTCTTTCTTTGTCGGGGGCATTCCATGGGACCGTTCATGGCAGTTCATTCGTTTCAAATCTCTGGCGATAAATGTGCAGTATCGACACCTGTAGTTTTCCGCTTGTCTTTCACTCATGGGAACATAAATCCGTCTTCTTATACCATTTTCATCAATGGTATAGCCACTGGAAGAATCATCCACTCCAGAAGACTCTCCAAGCTCATCCACATCCTCTTCAACCTCTTCCTTCACCCTATGGGACCCAAATCCAGAGGACTCAGAATTAGGACTCCTCCCACTGTCTGGAGTTGCTTCCCTTCTTCGTGAGGAAGGGGAAAGCATTCTCGCTGAAGGTGAAGGGGAACCTCTAGGGCTGGTGCCAGCGGCCAGAACTTCCGCCAATGTGTTGCCGACAGATTTCCCACGCTGCTCGGTCGAGTCCTCGTGCTGTTTTCCAAGAATGTGATCAAGCACAGATGAGCCACCTGGTGATGATGAGGCAAGGGCAGGGGCTGGGGTCAGGGTAGGGGGGAGCATCTCCCGCAACTGTTTCATCTCCTCATAGTTGTTGATCTTACGATCGTGACAGATCAGCTGTTTGGCCACTGACACCATCTTGGGTTTTCCTGGGTGGACTGTGGAGATGTGGTTGAGGATGGCACGCCGGTCAGTGGCCTTGGAGGAGCAGTGTGGACAGTTGACGATGTGGATCACGTTCTCTTCTACGTGAGATTGCAGCATGCTCACGTCAGGGAACACGTCCCCGCAAGCATTGCACAGCGGTTCGGTAATATGGGGGTGAGAAGACTTCACATGGTTAATGTAGTCTGGCACCATGTTTGTCCCAAACCTGCAGCCTTCATTTCCACAAACGTAGAGAGGGGATGACTTGTTGTGGGTGTGAGTATGATTGGAGATGTGTCGGACCAGGTCATTCTCATTGGGACTACGGTGGCCACAGTAGTAGCAGGGGAAGAATGTCTCTGACGAATGGAAATTTGTTGTATGCTCTCGGAATTCAGCTGTGCTAAGGCTGCTGAACAGACAGTTGAAGCCACAGATGAAGAAATTTGGATTCTTTTGCTGGGGTCTTGGGGCAGCTGAAACGACTAACTGAGGTGGGGGAGGGAGGACGGAACTATTGTTGGGGGCAGAGTGAGACGGGGCTGCCTGGAGAGGGGGAGGGGGCAACATGGGTGTGGAGGAAGAGGAAGAGGAGGAAGAAGAGGAGGGTGGAGAAGACTCTGCAACAGAATTCTTGTACATTGGTTTCTCCGGCCCCAAGAATGACAAAACCTCTGTCTCTTTCTCAGTGACAGGTGGAGGCATCATAATGAAGTTAGGAGCAACATTTTCTGCAGCATTATTTTCGTCAGAGGATTCAAGTGGCTGGCCATCAATTTGAGTGTCTTGCAGAGAATATGAAGCTATAATTTTTAAACCAGAATCAGAAGAAGAATTAGTCTGTTCTTTATCAACTTCCACTTCTTCTTCTGCACAACGCTGTGTCTCTCCATCACTTGTAGGTCCTGCATCTTCTTTTGTTACGGTTTCATTTGACGTTAACACTTCACGAAGTTTTGAGAAATTTTGAGCGCTATTTACATCTTCCTTAGTATCACACACAGGCACTTCCTGACTCTCATCTTTGGTCTCCTCTTGTGTTATAGTTTTGTCAGAAACTGTTTTATCCACTTTTTTCTCTCCTTTTGCTGCATCAGCAGGGACTGGTGTTGATTTGGCTGACCCTTTTTCCGGTGCTTTACTCTCTGAAGTGACAGCAGCAATGACTGGTTGAGCCGGAGCATTGTCATTATTAACCACCGTAGAACCTTCAGAAGTTTTCTTTTTCCTCTCTGGGTCTTTCTCTAAGGGCACTTTTCCTGCAACTTTTGCTGAGAATGTGAGAGTCCCTGCCAGACTCACCTCCTTTATGAGACTTTTGGCTCTGCGCAACGCTCTTAAGGCACAGCTCATCTTAGCACCATTGTGAAACTTGAGGACGTGTCGACTGATCTCTTTACGATTGATGAAGCATTCTTTGCAGTAGAGACACTGGTAGGGCCGAATCATCAGGTGACACATTAAGTGTTCCTCAAACCCATGGCCTGAGTTTGTGAAGTCACACTCCTTGCACACAAAACTTTTCTTCTCTTTATCAAGGCCTATTGTAATTTTCACTTTCTCCTCCTCCGGACTTCCTTCTTTCTCACAAGAGTGATTTGCTAGAAGTCGTTTGTCCTTCATGACCCTGGCACATTTAGGACACCTATACTTCACAGGCTTTCCCACAGTGGTCTGGTCTGACGATGTGGAAGCGGAGCAGTTCTGAGGTTGATTCACCTGACCATGCACAGGTGGCTGAGCTGTAGGTTCGCTCGTTCCTTGGTCGCTACTAATGACCGCCTGAGTTGCTTCTTGACTACTTGACATCTGAGCATCTGGCAGACCACTGTCTGCTGAACCTGTTGCTTCAGACTGAGTCACTGCAGAACTGCTTGAAGATTTCTCACTGGTCGCCTCAGGCTTTACATGATGACTTTTTGTGTTGTCTTTGCTGGGTAACTCCGAGCTGTCCAAAGTCTGAACAATGCTTTGAGCTCCATCTCCAGTCAGCTTTGAATCTTCGTTGTTACAATTTTCATTGCTTGCACTATCCTTTGAGGCTGGTCCTGTTACTTCACCATTGCAATTCTGACTACTCTCAGAGTTCTTCATCTCGGAACAATTTAATCTATCCCCCTCAGTACTAAGAACAGAATCTACAGGTGTCTTTGAATTTTCATTGCCTTGTTTTGTATTCACATCCGCATCCTCGGATTTTGATTCACTACTCATGGAAAAACAGCCACTACTTGAGCTCTCCTTCTCAACGTCCTTTTTCACACTTTCTTTTCCATCATGAACATCTTTAACAAAAGTACTTTCACTTACAGCATTTACATTATCAATCTTCAGTCCCTCCATTTGCTCCTCTCCTCTTCTGGTTAATGAAACATCTGAATCAGTATCAGACATCTTCACAGCAGAGGTTTGTTCAACATTTTTCTCCTCATTACTTCTACTATTATTTACAACAGAAGAATTATTGCACAACGCAGAATTAACATCATCAACAACTGCTTTTTCTTCCTCTGTGTTTACTTTTTCTGCATCATTCTTGGAATTTTGAACATCCATGGAATGTATAGGATCAGGATCTAACTTTTTGTCATCAGAGTCATCAATCACAGCAGAGTCAGGTTTACTTTTACTCAAAACATCCACATTTTCCAGAGCGGCACTGTTGATGATGATGTCATCAGCTAATCTGTCAGATGTGGCGATAGATGTAGCATCTTCTGCCTGGCCGTTTGTCGTTGACTTGGACGCTGACAGTGACGTTGGGTTCTGTTTTGAGTCCATTCTGCAGATGTCTCTGTGTTCATTCCTGTGAACAGATTAAAAAACAAAGGGAATTAATTAATGATTCACAGTATTGTAATATATATATATATATATGCATAATCTGTAGCACGTCTTTTTTACTGCTCCTTTTAACACTTTGGTGGTACTACTTAAGAGCAAGAGACAGCCTTTGAATTCAAATTTAATGTTCATCTCGAAACGCACAGCGCCACACGGGTGAAAAGCCTGGATAATTCCCCCAAACAAGACAGAAATGTCTTGATGGAGATTTGAACTAGGATCATCTACATTGCAACCCAGTATAACATCAACTGAGTTATTGGGGTACCTAGTTAAAGACTGAAGTGAGACATTCGAACACTATTTACAGTTCAGCGATGGCATCTGAAAAAAAATCTTCTTCAAATGTCAACACGGTTTGCCATTCATGTTACAGTACGTAGGCTCTAAAAGGAAAAACTAAGTCACTATCAGCGGTCTTTTTCTATCACCCTTCTGAAGGGCACGCTGGGCCAAGCAAAGCGCAATAAGAAAAAGAAAAAAAAGGTAACAGCCTCGCAATATAATCTAAAAGAAGAATTTCTTCTAGCTTCCGGTATAGTATGTTCGCCAACAAAGAAAATCATATCGGTGAAAAGAGTAACCTCAAAGCACAGAACATCACTATAACGGCAACGGTGATCAAAGGAAAAAAATGTACCTTTGCGTTCAAAGTATACCGAGGTAAGCAGGATATTTAGAAAGCTGAGAACTCAAATAATTGTCGAATGAGATAAAGTATGTGGGCCTAGATCTTGAAAACGTGATTCGGGAAAATTTCGACAGCAGAGAGTATCCGGTTCTTCTCTGTCAAGTCACGGAGCCGAAAGTTGAAGAAAAACAAATCACTGAAGAACGAGAAATGCGAGGATCCTTCTCGACTTCGAACTGCCAACCTTCTCGTGCTTTTGCCAGCTGTCAACAAACTGCGTCAAGGCGAGTGGCCACAACAGCTTCAGACAACAAAGAAATGGTTCAATAAAGAAGCCTGTCGTGTGCTTCACGTGGGTCTTTGGCTCACAAATTATAACTTTCTTTTTTTTTTCTTTGTGAAGAAAGGAAAAGAACAAAGCTCCGAGATTCCTTGACACCAAACTGCAATTCGCCTTCATTTTCGCCATTAAGTCGTGTTGGTCGAAGTCGAGAAACAGAAAAATATGCGACATTAATTTTCATTGTTGACATGGATCGAGCAGTAGGCCTGCTTAAGAAGTCGTACAGGTTAAACGCCCCTTTCAAGACTTATCTAAAGCCATGACCTCCGAATTCAACGTCCATTTCCCATAGCACCTAGCCAAGTGGGTACAGAGCCTAGAAAACGCCCCAAGACAATCCAACGTCAAAAACTCCGGGAAAAAGGGAATCGAACCATGGCCACCCGCACCACAGTCCAGCGTGATATCAGCGGAGTTAACGACGCGCCAATGAAGAAGGGTTAGAAACGGCTTTTCCTAAACCTAGACAAAAAGAAGTACATAGTACATGACAATGTTATACCTTCGTCGCTCTGTTGGTATACAGCACGTGGTCAGCCGCCAGGCTCAAGAGAATCTATCAACGTCAACGGGGCGGACGGACGGACAGACAGACGGACAACGTGACACACTATTCGGGCCGTGAACGAGGCAGGCAGACGGGCCCCCGACCCAAAGTCTGCAGCAGCAATAATAAGCGAGGAGGAGCGAGCGGAGCGGGCAAGTCGCCAAGCCAGGTCGGCCGGTTCTTCAACATTCACCCTACTCCGCGGAGACAGCTCTGCTCTCTATCAGCTCTACTGCTACACCACGTGAACATTAGCATGTCGTTGCCGCAGCCCTACAGAAATTCGCTAGCCTATGCCTCAGCCCGCAGCAGTCTCGAGTCGAGAACGAGCAAAGTGCAAGCACGTCCCACGCACGAACCCCCACGGGCAGCAGGCCGCTATAATACAACAAAGACAAAATGGCCGCTCAGTGCTCGGCCGGCGCCGCCGCTGCAGGCCTGGGCTGGTGGCGTGGTGTGGGTCGAGAGACTCGGGAGAGGAGGAGGAGGAGGAGGCATGGCGGGGCAAGAAAAAGAGGAGGAAGAGGAAGCGAAGCGATGAGAGCTAGCTTCTATCCATCCCGTTTCCATGACTCTCCCTCCACACGGATGAGGAGAGGGATGTTCTCGAACATTCCGCGGCAAGAGAAAGAAGAGCCCTCGCTGTGCGTGCGTATCATGGCTCACCATCTATGTGTGTCTAGATAGCCTTGGTCTAGCTCCTAGCCCCTTTCGACATACATTCGTATCAGTCACCATGACGGCAGCTGGTGCCTGGGTAGAAATTTGAGCACAAGAGCTTCGGTCGGTTTTGTCAAAGGACACCACTCGGCGAAACAATAAATGTCTGCTCAGCAGCGACCGAAAAGAAACAATGAGTTGCAAAAACGAAAGGCCACATCTCCAGACAGTATGATATAATGGGTTCTACGCACCTCTTCACCCTGGGATTTGTTTTTGGAGTAAACAGACGACGCCAATCGACAAACTGATGGTCATTTAATGCTGGGAAAAAGTAAGACAAACAGAAACAACAGAGGGAAAGTAAAGAAGAAGGATCTATCAGTGGCACCTTCCAACCACCCGCCAGCGAGAAACAGGGGAAACAAGACGTATTGGACTTCCCCAATAGTACCCTTCAACCACAGGCCATCAGGAACTAGATTGCACAATTGGAGAATCAAAACGTACGAAGAAGTAAAAGAGGCAGACAGACCTCCCAGCATTTACACCCCGGAAGGTTCGAGACACAAAATTATGCGAAACTGGAGATGCCAAGGGATAGACTAGAACAGTTTACACATGATGTTGGAGCAACTTTTGATAACAACAACAACAACAACAACAATAATAGCAGTAATAATAATTCAAGAAAAACACGCACCGAACCCCAAGTGGTCAAGGAAATCGTGCCTCAAATCAAAACATAAAGAAGATAGATATTCGACTGGGAGCTTAACTGAAGGCATACAACTGGCGACTATACTCAAAACCTCAAAGTACTGGTACTTAATTAGAAGTTCTCAAGGTGAGAGAGAGAGAGAGAGAGAGAGAGAGAGAGAGAGAGAGAGAGAGAGAGAGACTACAACGAGATTTTTGTTCTTTCATGTAAATATTTTATGCCCCCTCGAAACAATTTAGATCATTTAAGGAGGCGGGCTTCGACCTTGTCAGTCAAGTTTAACCCAGGCAGAGAGGGATACGACGTCCCAACAGAAAGACGGAGAAAATAAATTCTCCTCACATACATATTTGTTCGCTTTTAAAGACAAGGGGGCTATCCCGATAAATGCTGTTTTGAGAAAATTGAAGTTAAAGTTTTTGGATCCTTATTCAGTCTCATTAAAAGACAAGGAGAGTTTTCTCTACAACCAAAAACGTGCACACCACTGAAACCAAACTTCTCCTATAGGTAGGGCAATGCCCACTTTTGGTGTAGGTTAAGATTTCTGGAAACCCCCGAAATCTGTGTTAGCTCGCTTGTCCTTAAAAGCGATCGTTTACAAATGTATACAAATCGAACTCAGGCCTTCGGAGTGTGACGGCCAGGCGTCTAACTGCTACACCACAGACCTTATAATTATTATTATCATAATAATTTAGCAAGGTGAAGAGAGCCCACCAGGGGACGCGAGGCCTGGGCCGTATCTAGGTCAGAGGTGTTCAACACCTGGCTCACCGACCGGCCGGTCAACCCAGCCTAGCCCAGCCAGACGATCTCTCCACTCTCCACACTGGCCCACAGAGCATCGCCCCAAAGGGCTGGTGGCGACAATAATGTGTAATGAGTTTGGTCCGGCTTTCACACAGTTGACGACTGACTGACTGATTGACTGACTGACTGATTGACTGACTGATGATCATGGTTTGAGGTTGAGCCGGTTGAGCCCACGCGGGGCGAGCGACAAGACAGAATAGGCTCGTTTAGAACGCCTAGGGGTTAAAAGGAGGGAAACGTTTGTCGTTTCGATTACTTTGATTGAATAGGCAGGGGGTTAATCAAGCCGAACAAAGAGTTAGGAATAACCATCAACTGTTTTATTACACCATTCAATTGTCCCTTCATTTACAAGAATATAACAAACAAATCTTTGTTTCTTTTAGTAAGAGTTTTACGGCACTTGCAACACAATCAGGTCATAATTAGCTGCCGAAGATTAGAGGGGTTACAAGAGAGTAACGAACACAAAAAAGGAGGAGCGATAAGGACGATAGATGTTTGACAGGAAAGAAGGAGTAGACCACAACAGAGCACCCGCCAACCACCCACAAAGCTTTACTATAAGAAGTGACACAAAGTACTGAGGAAAGAGGTAAGCTTTTCCTTAGCCCTTAGCAGTACTAAAGAGTAGTGAGACACTTCACCAGTCAGACGAATGTGGGACGGGGGCGCCATTCTGTCACTCTCATACAGGGATTTAGGAGGTGATTAATTAATTTCGTATGGCGAGCAAGACATTTTAGGGTCAGTTACCTTAAACTGGTGGCTGGGCCTACTTTTTGGGGAGGATCTTCTGCGGTTTTTTAAAGGTGGGGCTATCCATATAATATGTAGTCCAACTTTCCAAGACGACCACCCATCGAGGAGAAAAATGGTCATTTAGGACAAGTGGCCCACTTGTATGGTTGCAGTGTTATTATAAAATAAATAATAACACACACACACACACACGCGCGCGCGCGCGTGCATACACAAACACAAACACACACACACACACACACACACACACACACACACACACACACACACACA